TTGCAAAATAAAGGAAGATCACCGTGTCCACATTCGTTCCTCGGTCACTTATGCATCAAGCAGAGTGCATCCCCTTCACAGCGTCAATATGTCATCCTTGTCGCTGTTGTTCTATCCGTCTGCTTCCGTCCACTTGACGCTGCGCCGACGCCGCCATATGTAGAATTCGGATCCCGCGATACGAACGATTCACAGTAGGAAAGGAGTCGAATCTCCCACAAAGATCTGAATAAGAGTATCGATTGTAAATCTAGGTGCACTTCAGCCAAGGACAAGTATGTCTCAACGATCTCTTGGTAAGTGATTCGGCACTGACTCTCGGTCCTTATGCGACGCGGGAGTGATGACCTCCTTCACGATGGCTGAAGTGGATGCGTAGCGAGCTCCGGGGCAGAATCCTTTCGTGCAAGACTTGGTGCTCGCTTTGAACATCTGTCAAGGGCGTTTTTCCCCTCTGCGGCCACCATCAAAGCAGAGAAAACTCATCAAGGAGCCATGATGGGCGCCGAAGATCTTGGAACACCGTCCCTAAAGACCACGCAGGTGTTTGCATGGTGCATAATTGGGCGAAGCCTCAGAGAAAGAGTCATGGGATTTTTTCCTCTCGTGAGCTCTCCATCAAAATCGCTCATCGAGACTGAACAGCCATCCCGGTCCCGACAGAGCACTGCCCTACGGATCAGCGGAGGAACACGTTCGATTATGGAGTGGGAAATTCGCAGCTGCGAAAAATTCCAATGTAGATCCCGAGAAAGGAAAATAATCTCTTCCCCAGTCTGTGCTTCCGATTGCCAGAGGGAGCTCTTGGAGTGCAGAGCGCGGCTTTAGATGTCACTACGACGACGGCGACGAATACCTGGATCAATTGCTCCGGCTCCGGAAGTTCGGGTTATTTGCTCGCCTCGCAGAACAACCAGTCTTGAGAAGTTCAGTCGGCCGTCGGGATTATCTTCGCGCGATTGAGAATAATGATTCCGAAAGTCGAACCGGAAACGCTTGATCGCTTCGCCTACGGTCTCTGACGAAATCTTTCGGTCGTTCCGAGCGTAACGAAAACAACTCGGAGAGCTTGTTCCTTGTCCGGAATCGACTGAATCGCGAGTAAGGTAGAGAGCCTTCCTTTCTGGAGCGCTTAGAATCGAAGCCGGGAGGCTTTGATGTTCCGGGTCGGACGCTTCGGAGCAGTCTATATCAAGATCGCTCGTGTCGATCAGTTCCTTGATCTCCTTGGGGAAGATCCAATCGTAATCACGACTACACCAGGTAGCATTCCTTCAATCGAAGTCGTCTACGACTCCAAACGGGAGGAGCCTTCCACGACGTGTCTATCCGTATCTCATGACATACTCCCATGGCAGATAACGCCGAAAGAGCGAATCAGCGATCCCACCGTCCTGAAACGAGCGATCCATCAGATCTCTCAACATTTAATTTGAGCTTGGCGTGCTGGAGTCCGCGTGTTTGACTCGTTGAACGTATCACTTGCAGAGGCTAACGACGCCGACGCCCGAGGCACCGGGAGGGTATTCGTTCCAAGCTTTGATTTGCTCCGGAGCTCGTATTTCGCTCTCGTACAATGAGGCGCGATTCGCTAGTTTCCAGTGACCACGCAATCGACGTTTTCGGGACCGGCTCCATAAGCTGAGTTCCCCCGGCCAGCCGTCCGAGAGCGGGATCTCCTCTGAGCTGAAGTTACCGCGACATGAGGGAACGCTGCGAGAGGAACGTCTCCTGCCAGAAGCGACCGAGGACGCTCGTTGGCGTCGGTTCGAGTCTGCCCTTGTCTCGGTCCTTGAACAAACGACTGTCTCATTCCTTCCCTTCTCGAATCCAACGACAGAACGAGAGAGCGATTCGATTTCTCTCCTTTGCTTTATACCTCCGAACGCAGCCATCCGAAAAAGGAGTCTAGACTCGAGAAGGGAAAATCGATTCGAATATTATTTTGTTTCGTCGCTATCGGACGCATGGCGGTGCGACGCTGATCGCATCGAGTCGGGTTAGGCCTTCGACTCCTTGTTGAGGGGTCGCCATCAGGTTGTGTGTTCGCCGCAGCGAGAGCCGAAGCTAGATACTTCGACGCGGCGCGTTATTGACGTTAATCAGCAGAACTTCCCGAAGACGACATCGGCCCGGACCCGATCCCCCGAGCGAACGCTGCGGCGTCAAAAAGAGTGAGATGATCCGCAAGGACTCCGACTCCCAGACACTAGCTCGTCGAACTATCCCCCACCGCGCGTTCTCCGACTTGTCAATAACGCTATATGCGGGAGAACGTTGCGCAAGGTCTCCCCCGGGCACGCGGGATATTGATCCGAGCGTAGCAAGTCATGAACCTAATCGATAGCGACTGCAGCGAGACGTCCGCTCGCAGGAATGGATGCGGAAGAAAAAACATTCCGACGCATCGGGAACAAATCGGTCGATGCTGTTCACAGCTGATCGTTCTTCGAGCGCGGAATGAAACGTTATTCTGTCTGGAAGTTTTTGTGTGGATCATATTCGCAACGCCAAGGCTGCGATATCGCAGACCATTCCATTCCGCGTGACCTTTCCTTCATGTATCCGTCATCAGCAGGGTGGGGACAAGGAAGCGCCCGATTAGAGACTCCTCCTCGGACATCTGATCGAATGCTTTAGATACGTTCTGTGGATGATTGTCGTCGTCTGGCGTCTACCGGACTCGTCACATCGAGAGCGCACAGCATCACGGAGGTGACCGGCTCGGGCCTTGATGAGAGCTAGTATCTAATTGCAAGCACGCTTCAAGTCCCTCATCTCCTGTTTCTGAAACGACGGAAGGACAGCAGAACTTCGTCAGAGTCTTAGATTTCCGCTAGGGAGGGGAGTTGTGGACCAGCTGATTCACCCGAAACTCATGGAACATGATTCTCTATCAGCTGATTGCTCACCACTCGAATTTGTGGTGATGAGGCATGATGAGAGAGGGCCGAGCGAATCTCATCAGTCAGTGGGAGGCCAGGCTCGATACAAACGGGAGCGTTTGCATCCAAAGACAAATGGAGGGCAATCGGAACTCCGCGTCAGTTGCCCCTCTGAGACGGACAGGTTTTTGAAATTTCGGATTAGCTCAAGCTAGAAGTGCTCTCTACCTTGCGGGCAGGCTCGATCATGACGGGGAGGAACAGATCATGGAGAATACTCGAGCCGCCGACGACCGCCCTCGCCGTCGCAGGAGGACTCCGGCGTTCAGGTGGGGGGCAGAATCCCCGAACATGGTCCTCGAGAGCGGAACTTTGCTCCTGGCGTTGGGAGCGGAAGTTTCCATCAATAGCTCCGGATAAAGTTTGAGTCCGGACTTGATATTAAGAAGAGACGGCGCTCTCGAGAGTCATCGGGAGACGAAGGGATCATATCAACATGTGCACTTTCAGCCTAGCCGGGGGTAGCTCCCAGAAGAGCGCATTAGAGTCAGTAATCATTAACGAGGGGAGAAACAAGACTAGAGACAGCGTCTCCTCTAAGGACGATAGCCACATATTTCCTCCCATGACTTGCGGCCGGAGTTTCGCTAAGGCGCAAAAACACCGCCCGCTGTCATTGAAATATTGAAGGGGGACGGGAGCCGCACTGGGCGCGGGATTTCCCGGTTCGTGCCTACATCATTCGAATCGACGTCATGTTGGGACAATAGCATGATATCGGGAAGTCAGTTTTCTTGATGATGATGAAAAAAAGCATTAGCGGAACGAGAAGAGCGGCAGCACCGCGAATAAATATATAATTCCATAGTTAACAGCGTCATAAAGAAGTAGGCCGTTACAGAGGGTCACGCTCAATGAGAGCCATCAACACTGTCCCGACCAAAAACAACACCACTGTAATTCCATGCTAGTCGTCCGCACTCACCGAGTCGAAGTCGGCTCTTGAGAAAGGACTCGCAAAGCTTACTCGAGCGCCAGTGCAGAGCAGTGCGTAGAAAGGTGCGTCTAATAAGTTTCCCGTCCTACCGGTGCGTTTCCGCGTATCGGTGACTCGCCCACGTCCTTTTTGCTTCGGCTGCCTGTGCGTAAGCCGACCGAACGGTGCGCTCGTCCAGTTGTCAGTCCGTCTTGAACTCTTCAAGACGGAATCAGGAAAAGCCTCCTGATGAGATTCCCGAGCTCGCAGCCACAAAAGGGATCCCCCGTCACCCCAGCCCCCCTCTGACTGAGTGCTTGGCGTCGGTCGGCGACGACGTCTGCCGAGGGACGGGTCAGGCCTGTCCGACGTCCGACAGGAGGGCTCTGCCAAGACCGACATAGACTCGGCCAAGGACTCAGCCAGCAAGGTAGAAGGCAAACTGAGGGACTAGCCGGTGAGAGGTAAATCGAAAAGTGTTTGCTGATCGGAGCGGGCTGGACGGAATCAAACAGAGACTCGCTTTCCGTGCTCCCCAACGCTGGGTCTGAGCGGGAGAGAGAAAAATTTTCCCCGGCTGGATCCTCACGAAATTTCGATCCGATGGAGATCTCTATGTTTTCGTAGAGCTCGACGAAAAATTCTGATCCCAACGGGAGCTTGTCTACCAGCGCCGTGGTCGACGCCCCGAATAGCTCGCTGAGTGAGCCTATTTCGGTCCCTGCTCTTGGCTCGATGTCGAAATGTCGATGACTACGAGACGGCCCCAATAAGTAGCTCCGACGAAGGGAGAATTATTGTCAAAAGGTTCCGTGAGAGCTCCGAACAGCTGCGCTCCTCTCACGGCAGACTCTCGGGCCTCAATGAAGCCTCGCTAACCGATTCAAAGTTTCTTTTCGCCCAGCACATGTTCTCGTTTCGATTCCCCGGGAACTACGAATCTCTCCTTCTCAATACTAGATTTTTTTCACTTTCACGCGAGGTTACGCGTTGGGGGAAATCTCCAGCCTCCTTTCTCTCAGCTAGGTACCTAGACGGAATATCACGAGTATTTCCCGCTCGACGAACGAATTCTGGAGCGGATACGAGTCCCTACGAATATGTCTGGCCTTCTCTAAAGGGGATTTATTTGCTTGCAGATGAAGACGACGGACCTTCCGCTCCTCAACATACCGTCAGTGGTCAATTTCCAGATGCAGTTAGGTCTCACCCGAGACTCCGTGAGCATGGAGATCCCGGAACTGAATTTGAAGTCTCTGAAGGATCTCGCATGCAATTTCGTCGATCGTAAAGTGCCTGAACATGGTCTGAATCGACTCCCTGAGAGGTTGATTCTCCTACGACATGACTACTCCTCGGAGAATATTCTCCTGCCAATTAACTGGTACGGATAATTATTGTCATAATAATCACCGAGTCCCGCCATCAAGTAGCTAGAACCTTCGTTCCCCCTGTCGTCGCAGTCGTAGCTTCGGTCTTTGCCAATGCTCTCGAGCAAGCATCGACTAGTGCGCCGACTCTACTCATGGGATTTAAGGAGGCCGACGATTTCTGTCGGCCCTCGTGTGACGCGAGTGACATCCATTTACGGCAGTTAGTGCAATTAGCTCTCTGAAGGGAAGGATTCTAAGATTAGAGAAACACTTTCGAGACGAGAGCGGAATCGAGCTTCGCAGTCAAGGAATCATCTCAGCGTTCGGAGAATGACGAACTCTTCCACGAGGAGAGGACGCTCGCCGCCGTCGGCGTCGGTTGGGCGAACGAGGCGCGGCATCGACCGCGGTTTCAACTCTACGTTCTCCTTATTACCAGGAGAGCGCCGAAGACATGTGTGTAAACAAGCCGCCAGTCGAGGCGAAGGAGCTTGAATGGGGTCCCCGGCGGGGGAGTGCGGGCCCTAGATGAATGCACCCAGGGACGACAAAAATGCAGAGAACATGGTTCCTAACGAAAATATTCACCACGAGGAAATCTCGAGAAGAGAGTTTCGAGCTTCTGCTCCGATTCGTTGGGAGAGTTCTTGAGAAAGTTCCATGTCGGAAGCTGCATCGTACATGCCTCCGACGGAATGGAAGATGATCGTGACGGAAAGAGCGAGTCCCTCAATCCCCTCATCCCGAGCCCTCGAATTCGGGCTGCATCCGTTAGTGGGTGTAGCGTGAGTCCCTCCTGCTTATATAGGCTTCACGGACCGAGCAAGTCGCATTCCTCGAGTAATTAGGTAGGTCCAAGAAACCTCTCCCACTAGTTGTTCATGCAGATTATACTGTGAATTCGAGATCGCGTACCAGGGAAATTCAGAGCACACGGCAAGTACAATGCCGGCGGCCTGAGCACCTCCACAGGAGCGGCCTCCGCAACGAATTACCGCGCATTCAATCAACTATCCAATCCCGGGGAAACAGGAAAACGACCGGAGACTGAAAGACGGACGTTGACAAACAGGCCCCGCACTGACAGGCAGACGGTCCATGGCGAGCAGACGGACGCGATATATACGAGGGTTTTGCTTGGCGATGCTTTAATTTGGTTCGATGTTTGCTCTTCCCATCCTTTCCCTCCCGAAGGCCGAAATCGTCGGTTAGACGCGAGGCTCACTCGCACCTTTAATAATAATCTATTGAGAGAGGATCTACTTACCAACCCGCAACTGAGGCGACGACGGCGAGCCGAGAGCGTCCGCGAGGCTAGAGCAGCCGCATGCAAAAAGCGGACGAGCAAACCGAGTTGGGCAGAGGCATTCCATGAATCCAATTAGGTGGTCGCTTGAGAACACTATACCATCATCGTCGAGCTAGGGGATGGACTCCCTCTGTCGTCGACCCGACCGCGGAATCCTCGCCAACGGGACGATGCTCTGGCCGTCCTTCCCGCCCCCGTTCCAGATTCCCGCAGCCGCGGAAACGCCAAATCTGGCATCGATCAGAATAAAATGCGCCGTGATGAATCACCTGACGAGGACGGCGCGGCGGGACAAAAAAACGCGTTCGAAACTCGAATAATTCGGAACTTTTTTTTCCAGCATCTCCGACATATCCGAGGGCACAGTTGTCGAAATCGTTCTCTCCTCGAGAGATCTACCGGAGGACAACGTCGACATCCGGCCCCATGCTCTGAACGTACACAGCTACAAATCACCTACATTTTGCGACTTTTGTGGAGAGATGCTTTTCGGCCTCGTACGCCAAGGTCTCAAATGCGAGGGCTGCGGTCAAAACTATCACAAGCGCTGCGCCTACAAAATCCCGAATAACTGCACTCATATCAAGCGGCGACGATCGTCGTTTAGTTCATTGCTCTTCTCGCCGACGAAGTCTTCGGGCGGCGACTTTTTCAAAGAAAAAAGCGCAGTGCATCGAACCGCGTCCGCGGCGCCGTTCATCGACGACCACAATGCCTTGCTCTGTACTCCGAACCTCAAAGAGAAACGTCCCTCGCTCAACATGGGACGACCCGTCTGGGTCGAGAAGGAGCTCGCGAACAAAATCCGCATTCCGCATACGTTTCTCGTTCATTCGTACGGAAAGCCGACAGTCTGTCAACACTGTCGGAAGCTCCTTAAAGGACTCTTCCGCCAGGGACTACAGTGCAAGGACTGCAAGTTCAACGTTCATCGCAAATGCCTCGATCGGATTCCGATGGACTGTCCCGGCGAGGCCGAATGGGCGAACGAAGAGCCGTGCGAGGCCGAAAACGCCGAATACATGCAAGGCGACGACACCGACGACGAGCCGGAAAGCTTCACGGCACCGCCGACAGTCGACATCACGCCGCCGCCGTGCGCCGTACCTAAAGTGGTTACGAAAGTCCTCCAAGCGACGGGATCTCAAGATTCCGGCTCGGAGCAGGACGAACCGAAAGCCAATAACGAAAACTCGAATTCAAGCAATATACCTCTGATGCGAATCGTGCAATCGGTAAAGCACACGAAAAAGGGCGGCCAGAGCATCGTCAAGGAAGGCTGGCTCATGCACTTCACGAACAAAGACTCCTTCAAACGCAAGCATTTCTGGCGTTTGGATACCAAGACGTTGACGTTGTACCAGAACGAGGGAAGCACAAAATTCTTCAAAGAAATACCTCTCGACGAAGTTTTAGCCGTCGAGCCCTGTAAAGACAAGGAGGGTCGAGGCGCCTACTGTCTCGAGCTCAAAACGAAAAACTGTACCTATTTTTTCGGGTCGGAGAAGGACATCAGCTGGGAAGTGGCGATCCGTCAGGCGTTACTGCCGCTCATGGCCACAAAGGAGAACGTCAAGGCCGAGGACGGTGCCGACGCCGAGAGCCCCGCAGACGACGGGGACGACGATCCCTCACAGGACATTAGTTTACATTATCAAATATTCCCCGAGGAAGTCCTCGGCTCGGGACAATTCGGCATCGTTTACGGCGGAGTGCATCGTAAGAAAGGCCAACAGGTCGCCATAAAAGTGATAGACAAGCTGCGTTTCCCGCATAAAGAAGAGGCGGCACTCAAGAACGAAGTTCAAATCCTGCATAATATCCAACACCCAGCCGTGGTGAACCTCGAGAGAATGTTCGAGACGCCCGAACGCGTTTTCGTCGTGATGGAAAAACTCAAGGGCGATATGCTCGAGATGATTTTGAACTCGTCGAAGGGACGATTGCCGGAGCGAACGGCCAAGTTCCTCATCTATCAAATCCTGGTCGCGCTGCGCCATCTGCACGCGAAAAACATTGTTCATTGTGACCTGAAACCGGAGAACGTTCTGCTCTCGACCGACTCGCAGTTCCCGCAGCTGAAACTCTGCGATTTCGGCTTTGCGCGAATTATTGGCGAGAAGTCATTCCGTCGGTCCGTTGTGGGCACGCCAGCCTACCTCGCCCCGGAAGTTCTCCGCAACAAGGGCTACAACCGTCTTTTGGATATGTGGTCAGTGGGAGTCATCATTTACGTGACCCTTTCGGGAACGTTTCCTTTCAACGAGGACGAAGATATCAACGATCAGATCCAGAACGCCGACTTCATGTATCCGCCTCTGCCCTGGAGAGAGATTTCCAACGAGGCCATTCATCTTATCAACAGTCTCCTGCAGGTGAGTCGAGTCGATGACATGTCTCTCTGCCGGATGGGATTCATGGCCTCGAGCTTTCCGGATCCGCCAGAAACTTTCCAATTCCGGCAAGATATGTTTGCAGCTTAGGTGAGACTCGTCCGCTACACAGACTAGAATCTCGATTCAGACCTTGAGACTGCAGAGACATAGAGAATCTCCGAGATTATTCTGACGTTGGATTAGGCTCCTCTGTGCAGTACGGGGATCCGATGAATCTTTCATTCATCGCTCATTCATAATGACTCGCGCTCCTTGATCCGCCTGACTCGGAACTCCTGGGCAAGACGCAGAGGGAGCGGCTCGCTCATGGAGTCTACGCTCTGTATAGTATTTGGGATCAATAGCAATCGCCCCGATGACACCCGGGCTACATAGGTCCCGCGCCTCGAGCGGCGTCTGACCTTTTCCGATCTCGATTGGACGCCCCGCACTTGTCACCGAAACTCGTTCGAACGTCAGTCCACATGCGGAAAGAAGGAATCGACATTATCCTTATTCCTATCGGAGCTTCGTCCGGCCTCCAAGGTCTATTCGCGCTGCTATCTATTAGGAGTTGGGCATGTTCTTATACCGGATGGATTCTCTCAAGTAGACGGAATATCCTCTGGAACTGGTTCCCTGGCCATTAGAACGATTGGAGACGAGATTTCTCGCCGCTTGTTGGTTTCGGAGGCTTGTCTTGCCCTCTTCGTCTTCTATTCTTCTCCGTAGAGAATTCTCGGAAAGAATTGCGTTGCCGGGAATCATCGGACGTCCTCACCTCGAATGCAAAGAGGGGAAAAGGGGGTGGAGGGTGGGGGGATTCGGACGATCGATAATAATCGTACCTCTCTGTCCGTTTCAGGTAAAAGTCGCAAAACGCTATACGGTCGACAAATCGTTGGCCCACTCTTGGTTGCAGGACTACCAGACATGGCTGGACCTCCGCCGTCTTGAGGCGGAGGTGGGAATCAGGTACTTGACCCACGAGTCCGACGATCCTCGATGGGAGAAACATCGGCAGGTCTACAATCTGGAGGAGCCGCCTCCTCCACCTCCTGCCTTCGCGGAGGATTCCGATTCGGGTCGAGGACTCCTACAGCCCCATAGAACTTCATCTCATCAGAACCTGAGGCAGATGCTGTCTATCCAGCCGGAGCTAACGGAACCTGCACCTCAGTCGGGCGTCACGGCGAGTCTCAGCTGCAACAAGCTTCGGAACATCTAAAGTTTTCCCCAAGAAGGCTGTTACGGCTGGGCATGCAACGAAACGGGACAGCTACAAGGGAACAAGGAAGACAACAAAGCCACAATGTTCCCGGGGATCGTTGCGTCCGTCGTGTGCAGGTAACCAATGTGGACAATCATGTGCGCACATCTATGATGGCCCGGTGGCGGAGTGCGTTCTTTCACGCAGGAGGCTCTAGCTTCTGTTCGGTCCGGCTCATCGATTAGGAGCCGACGGATACAGGTGCTCCGCTGTACACTCGGAGGCGAGCAGCGCAGAAGGAAGAACTTTTTACTCTCTACCATTGTCGCAGGTTCCATTTTCTCACGAAACTCAATCTACGCATGAAAATTTGTGGCCATGCATCGATCGTTTCAGCTCCGGAACCGAAAATGTTTTCCATAGTTCTCGGATCGGAGTCCTGGAGTGCAGTTCCTGAATCTCCGGAGAGGGCAAAAGTCTTTTCTAGTCAGTTGTTGTTGTCCTTTCGAATTCTACGATGTTTGTAGATTCTCTTCTCGCTCAATCCTAGAAGGATGACGGGTAAAAGGGAGCACCCCCGACGGTATCAGCGAACTCCAGTTAGCCGAGGACGAAACATCGATCCATCGAAACCTTCCATTCTGAGATTCTGCATGGCTGGAAAGCCCATATTCTTCTCTTTTGAACTCTCAATCTCTTTCCTAAGACACTCGTTTCATCCGAAGGCTCCGAAGTATCTTCCGGGTAGCTCTCACGGAGCCTATATGATTAATGATTACGAAGCAGTTCTGATGACTACGATAAGTATTATATTCAGCGCGTGTCGCTGGCGACGATGGATATCGGCTGGCGGGACGGTCGTCTGGCGGATCTCGTCGGTACGATTCGACAGCCTATGTTATTACCTGATTGTGAAAGGACATGCTCATTGGACAATCTAGCTGACTGGCCGAATCGACGCGACTTAGAGACGAGCTCATGCGGTCTACGAACCACCTTCGAGCCCACAAAGTCAGTTTTTAAAGGTTACAAGGATCAATTTTCAAAACTTCCCATAGGCCGTCGTCAGCGGGCTCATCTGAGTGAGTGAGAGTCTGTAAGTTGAGACTAGAGCGAAGATATCGTGTGGCTGAGACGTGCTAAAAATTGAGAAACCGCGCGACCGGGGCTCATCAAGTAACTTATTCATATCAAGCTTCCCGTTCTCTCGGCAGCAGTGGGAACACCTGAAAGCATGCATACGGGGTGGATCCGCGGCACGCCCATTTAGATCGAAATGAGCGTGACGGATCGCGTGCGTCGCATTGAAGATTTCGGAATGGAGCAGCTGATGAAATTGACAGGGAATTGGGAAATTTCCTTCTGTGGGGAATTACGAGATCGGTCGACAAGAAGTGTGATACGCATTGTTAGGAAATACGGCTAGACACCACCGTGAAAAACATACGTCTCGCGTGATTCACTGAGACACGCCTGAGCGATGCTCGATGTTTATACATACAGTTGACCTTCACAAATGGACCATTTTACTAAGGACTGTTGAGATCTTATAGCTTATTAGTTATTAGATAATTTACAGAATCGCGTCTGGAAAATCCCGGCACCGGTGGGGAAATTTCACTGAATATTACGTTCAATTGCCGGGGGAGCTGCTCCCGTCATACGAATCACGGTATGAATGAGTTTCGAATCCCGCAGTCTATCTCGAATGCAAAGATCAAGTTGTCTAGGCAAAACGAGGATACTAAAATCAGAACCTCATGTGTATCTTTAACCGCATCGATATCATCGAAGGATCTTGATCGGAAACATCGGGGAAAGTCATGAAACCAGAGTTTGTGAGTTGCCGTTCGAAGCGACGCATGGAAGTTGCACGGCACCAGATACCTGGTCAGTTCAAACCTGTACAGTTCGTCCCTCGTAATCTCTAAATCACTATTTCCACATCCATTCGATCTCGCCTTCCTATCTGTAAAGTTCATCATTCCATCTTTCTTGTTCAACCAGGAATATGGCCCTAATATCACAGGATTTGTTACCGGAATTCTGCGGAATAAAAAACCTCCATCGAAGAATGCGAACTCTTCATTCAATTTTGTTTGGTGTTTCTTCCACAGAAGCCCGCCACAGAGCGGGAAATCGCGGAAAACTCTCGAGAATCAGAATACCCTTCCAATTCGTTTTTCTCCGCGAGCGTGAGGATTCAATGTGGCCCAAAATCGCAGCGCACTCCTCATTTTGACCTTATGAAGCGCAGCCCTCTGACGTACTGACGGATCCGGCCTCAAGTCAACGAGCATCCTGCAGCGTCTCTAGGCTCAGCCGGGAAATCGGGGACGATCGGGAGACAAATCGTAAGGAGAGCGATCCTCGGGCCATCTCACGATCGCCGATCCGGGCACCTAGTTTGAACGCCTCCGCAGCGAACCGGTGAGAGATGAAATTGAAACTGAGGGAATTCCGTGTCTGATCTGTTCCGGCAAGAACCGCTCCCCTGCCCCTCAAGTCAAGTGTTCTTCCTCTACATCCGATAAAATACCTCTCATAGAATCCGAGAGATTTCAGGGAGTGAAGATCCGACTGCGACTCCTGACTCCCCAATCTGTTTCCCGCGTGAAATCCAGGGTTTTGCAAACGACCCCGGTATTTTCTTCTCGAGGATTTGCATAGTTTGCGAGCAGGTTTGAAAAGAGGCACGGTGCGTGCCCGGGTGCCGACGAAGCTCAGGATCGGTTCAACATCGGAGGCAAGCTCGTGATTATTTTATGCTGGACTCTCCTTTAGACGATGCGGAGCACACAGAAGCTCCTCATTTGATGTTGAGACTTTTCCCACTGAATATTACACAGCCTGCAAGGTCGAGTGTCGCCATCATCGATAGACCTCATCGACACTCGCATCCGTAGGCTGTACGAAGACCACTTCGATCTTCGAAGATTGGAGCCAAGAGACGACTGATTAATTTGTCGTCATGGTTCGGGGAAAGCCTGACGGATGAACTTCTGTGGACGGAGAGCGGGCATCTCCTAGCGGACGGGACAGAATGAGCTCCTTGGTGACGACGCGGCGGATATCCGCGGTAGCGAGTTTATCCAGATGAATGGTTGCTCCCGCGCCCCTAATTGACCCGAAAGAATTTCCGCGCACGGAAGGCTGACATGCAGACGTGCTCATCCTGAGCTCGTTGCGTCGCGCTATATTGGTAGACGAGCTCTTCATGATTAGGCTCGCTCCACACCACAGAGCGGTGTTCCGAGAATGATTCGGCTCGCCTTAAGAATCTCGAGCGCTCGTTTCCGACCGAGACTGTCTGCAGCAGAAGATTGGTCGAATCCGCTCACGGCACGCTGTCTGGATGAGTTCAATTCGCTCATGGAACGATTTCTAGGGCGCTGCCGTTCGCAATGAGTTTCCTGGACAATAATTTCACTCGAAGTCTTCTACGAGCTCCCTCCGAGAGATAATGCGCGTCGCGTCAACTACTTCGGAATCACGATGTTGGTATTCGTGAGCATGGACTCGGATAAAATGCTCCTGAACTCTTCACGCATCGCTTCGGTTTCGCTCCGATGAGCACGAAGCGAAACGAGTCTCGTTCACTCTGAGCATTCCGCTCCGAGAAGCTCTTTTGCGACAATGAATGACGTGGACGCGACTTCATGCGACCCAGGAGCGGAATCTTTAGATGCGCAAAGAAATTCCTACATCGGAAGGACTCGTTCACGCAAGTCCTAATGATCGATAGACCGACGGCTCGAATTCGGAGTGGATATGTTTCGCAATTATTGGTTTCCCGGAGTACCATACACCGAATGCTTTTTGTGCGGAGGCCTCGAGCACAATTCGACGCTCGGAATGAAGGCGTGCGGAAACAACCGCTTCTCCTTTGGACAAACTTCCCCTTCGAAAAGAAAACAAACTCTAGAGTCTAGAAAACTTCCCGCGGAACACTGTGGGCTCCCGTCCCCGCCCGGCTGTGAGTTGACAGCTGGAAAGGCGTATGACGAGTGACGCATCATTCCTGAAGAGCGAATGAAGAAGTGTTTCGAAGAAGGGCACACATTCTCTGCCTCATGTTTAATTTATGTAACGTTCCGCTGCTCAGCGGAGATGTCCGCCCTCCGGTGGAAACGACGGAACGCTCTGAGAGGACTCATGCAAGTTTCATTCGAGCTGTTCTTGAAGGCCCGTAATAACTTCCAGTCCTTCAGACGAGAATACCTAATTGGAATAGGAGACAGGCTCAAAATCTCGGGGGAACTGTCTGGACCATCCTGGCTTCTCGTTTCGAGCATCTCTCCGTTCGGGTCGGAGTCGACTGGATTCGGAAATCGAGTGAGGCACGGAGCTCGGATGGAAGTTCTGTCTCTCAGGCGTGTCACCTCCTTCTGGTCGGGGGTCACCGCTCTTGCAGCTCATCGGCGGAGAGAAATCTCCTAAGAGACTCCCGGTTCGTGCGTCGCGTGCGTTCTCTACATGGTAAGCAAGCATGGGAAGATTGGACCATTGTGGAGAGACTGCCACCCGCAAGAATCGAGGACGCAAATGTTCTCGGAAGGATCATTGACAGGACCTGACTATGATTCCAGCGGCCTGCATCGCAACTTGCGGAATCTCTCTCCGGGCGTCATCCCTTTACGGTAGCGCCGACCACAGTGACGTCGGGCGACCATTCGCCAAAAAAAAACACCCGTGTCCGACGCAGAGGACGAGGTGCTTCGCGATGAATCGGCTTATCGAGGAGTTTTTCGATTGATTCAGCTCTCTAAGGGTTTGCAACGGCAGATTTATGTCTCGAGGTTCCAAATTAGCGAAAACATCGGCTGAAGCGACACGACCAACAGTGGGCTCCGCCTATTCCAATGGCTCTGACGGCGGATCCCGATGTGCCCCGATCGGCACACTTCGCTATATCAGGGCTTCCAATTGAACTGTAACGTGCGCGGGGTCTTCACGACGTGGGTCTTACCGATACGATCTCTGAATGAGAGGATAAACTAGCCGATGAGCTCACGATC